TAAATATAGGAGAAAATGTAAAATAAACCCAGTAAAAAGTAAAGTTCTGTATGCCCAACAAGAGTCTGCTCTATAAACATCCATGGGGCTAGACTGTTTAGTACCTTACCCAAAGATATCAGAAATACCGCCAAACCAAGTATAAAAGTCTTCACAAGGTAATTCAAAAAGTACCATACAACCTCTAAGAACCAGATCAACCCAGCTGTGATATACATGTGAGCCAGCAGGCCGCCAGCAGCAACAGCTGGTTTGACTAGGCAAGCAGCCTGGCCCATGGCTGGGCTGTGTGCATAGGAAAACCTCTTGAAACTCATCAAGGTTATATCATAAGTGGATAAGTGTAATGCTTTACAAAATGGGAGAAAGCAAAAATAGGACACATGAAGAATTTTAATTTTGTAGTAAAGTTCTAAAGCACTAAGGTAAGGACATAGTTAACTATTGTGGCAAGAAAATCACATGAATGAAATTGTGACAAACCTCTACGCAACAGTAGCCTACTTAAAAATAGCCTTCAGATACAGTACACAGATGGGTCAATAGCAAGAAAGCTGTTCACAGTATATGTCACACTAAAATTTGACTATCCAGCTGTGGTTAGAAAACTTAAAGTGTGCAAAAAAATACCTTTCACAACTAAAAAAAAATTAGTTATAAGGTATTAAACATCAAATATTCCCCTCGCTGGCTACCTTCAATATATCTTTGATGGTTTTTAACAGTTTTCCTAATCATGAAGCACTGTCTTGGCTGGTATAGGGAAAAAAGAATGAAACAATGATAAATACAAAATTAATAACACTTCCACTGTCCATTACGTACAATGTCACTGAGGCCATGGTTCCTGACACAGTTCTACGTCATAATCTCACCTCACTCAGACAAGCTGTGAGCAGTAAATTTTGGCCTAGATATAAGAGAACAGGTCTGTGCGGTAAGTGTGCACCGTATAAAAAAAAATTCCTGCCCTATGCAATGCATGACAGGAAAAACAAATCTATGACCAAGTGTATGGTTTAAAAATAGCAGCTTTGAGGTGTTTTCTCAGATGGTTTTTATAGCTTTATTGGCTGTTTCTTGGTATTTTCTGATAGAATGGAAGACATACAATTGAAATAGAGATGATTTTACTTGGTTTCTGAACTGAAAGCAGCCTGAAATTGAGCTCAAAGAAGCAGAAATATACGATTTTTGCCAATATTCCAAAAGAACGAGCAAGGCCCCCTTAAAACCCGTCTGTTTTATGAGTTTTTAATAGGTCTGACTCAATTATTGGAACATTGTAAACCATGACCAATCTTTCCTGGTTATATTTTATTATCCAAGAAATAGAGACAATCTTCCATTTTTGTCAATAAAGATTAAAAATGAAAGGCAAGTGTAATACAGGAGAGGCCTGGAAATATGACTAATAAGCAGAGGAAATGTTGCTTTAGTGTCAGGAATGTTTACATTGTTTATTATGGACTATTTTTAAATTGGAATTTTTTTAATTTTGCATAAAATTAGTCAAATTACCAACTTCTGTTCACTTTATAGGGTAGTTGAAGTACCTGAATGGGTGATTTCTTATGCTCAATCAATAGAATGGAAGGCATATTAGCAAAATAGCTAAGAATTTGGTCCAATGGAATTAGATTAAAATAGGGCTCAAAGTGGGCGAAATCACCATTGTGTAAACTGCCAAAACCACTAACTTAGCGCCTTCGTAATTCTATCAATTTTCCACCAAATTTCGTGCTTTTGGTGCCATTATCTTCAGAAAAAGATTCTCTACCATTCCAGAAAAAATAATTTTAAAGTGGGCACTGGGAGCAAAATTAATTAATTTTGGGGGACCTGACAGTGAAAGGGTTAATGCTGACAAGTGTTTATTGGAAGAAAATACTGTCTAAAGCTTACATCAGCCATCAAGAGAAACATGCACCTGGATTTAAGAAAGCAAATGATTATTTCAACCAACATCTGTGCAGAAATACATAAGATGATTTTGAGTGGAAGCCCATACTTATTTATATCTCCAGGAGCCCTCTTGCTTTAACCCTTTGACTGTCGCAGGCCCCTTTCTGAAACTGTCATTCTATGTCGCAAAATTTTTGAAAAAAAAAAAAATTATTTTTTCTTATGAAATGATAGAGAATCTTTTCCCGATGGTAATGACACCAAAAGTTCGAAATTTTGTCGAAAACTCACGGAATTACGCTACCACGAAGTTAGTGGTCTCGGCGACATATACGTATCGGTGATTTCGCCGACTTTGAGCCCTGTTTTTAGCCAATTCCATTGTTCCAGTTGACCAAACTCATAGCTATTTCTTTAGAACTCCATTTTATCTATCAGCTGAGTACAAGAAACCGCCCATTTACCAATTTGAACTACCCAATAAAGTGGTCAGAAATTGGCAATTTGGTCAATTTCACGCAAATAAAAAAAAATGCCAATTTCAAAATAGGGTCCAGAATAAACAAGGTAGACATTCTTGGCACTAAAATAACACATCCTCTGTTCATTAGTCATATCTCTAGGCCCCTCTTATATTACTATTGCTTTCTATTTTGATTTTTTATTCATACAAAAAAATACAAAATTTACTGGTATGCAGACTACTGCATTATTTTAAAAATGGTATAAATAATATTAGTGCACTAGTGAAAGAATACTAGACTCCCCAGTTGATGTGTATTGGACGTGTGGTGTGATTTGCTTACTCCTGAACATTGGTAAAAATCGAACATTTCCGCTACTTTGAGCTCAGTTTCAAGGTCGTTTTCATCGTGAAAGTAATGAAAATCATCTCTATTTCTGTGATATGTTTTCTATTTTATCACCTAAGACCATGAAAACGAGAATACAACGATAAATACTAAACAAAAATACACCTCAAAGTCGGCGTTTTAATAAAAAAAAAGGTCCGTTTTTTTTTTCTCATTACGCACTGTGTGCTGCAGGATTTTTTTTATGTGGTGCACACTGACCACACAGACCCATTCTCTCACATGTGGGCCTACCAGGTTTCTCCTGCTTGATTTGAAGCCACTAGAATTTATGAGTATATACACGTCAGAAACAGTGGCGCGTAAGACGTATTTATACGGCGTAAACAGTCAAAGGGTTAAAAGGTAAAGATAAAACCACTTTCCTCATTATTTGGAGATCAAACCAATCAGTAAGGATGATGGAGGCTTTATGTCTTCTTAAATTTTATTGTCTAAGTCATATTTTACCTGAGCAGTAAGAAAAATGCATTCAAAATTCTTCTTTACACCTGCTAATTCTCGCATTCATCCTAAACTATTGGAGGATGTGCACTCACATGTGAAATTAATGACTTTACTACCAAATATACACGACATCTTTGATAAAGCCACTGGATCAAGGTGATGCGGAATCCAATTGCAGCAATGGACGGTGATTCTGAGCTTGGAGTGCCACACTTCTGGCACAAAATTTAGCATTGCAGATGCAATCAACATTAAATGGAGGCTGGGAAAAATTATGACCTAGTGTGGTGAATACTTTCACAGGTTTTGCCTCAGTAGAGAGTCAAGTCCAGGAAATTGTTGACCTAGCAAGGAGATTGCCAGGAGAGGGCTCTGAAGATATGAAGCTAGAAGACGTGAATGAACTCTTAGAAGATGATGATGATCAATTCCCAGATGCAAGGGAGGCAGGTAACAGATGAGGATGAGGAAGAACCTGCAGAGAAATAGTTAACACTGCAACAGTTATGTGAGCAGATCCATATTATTAGTATAGTTGCAGACTTTCCACTGAAGAGAACCATTATACATCTAAAAGGACTACTCTAAAGCAGGGTCTGGAACAGCTGATGCTGCCTTACCATCAGGTCTATCAAGTTCTGCAGGGTAAAACAGAATACCTGAACACTCCAGTATAACCATCATCTAATGCCAAGTCTGCATCAATATCACTCCAAGAACCTCAGCCATCCACATCAACCTATGATCAACAACCATCCAGCTCAGCTCTAGTAGGGCCACATCATACCTTTCTCTGCCTCTTGAGATTGACATACACCAGCAACCAGAATTTATAGTAAAAAAAAATTAATTTATGTAACCTTTCTAGCTACATGTACTGTATTTTAACTATTTACACCTCGTACATCCAACTACAATTACATAATTTTTTTAACTGCATGACCTAAAATAAATTTGCAATTTTGGGGGGTCCCAGGAATGTAACACTATTGTTCCCCTATATTTTTCAATTTGCTTACCACATTTTTTTTGCATAACACGTCATTTTCAGAGAAACATAACTACCATGTTATTCAAGGGTCTACTGTACATAATACAGGAATAAGAACTAAAATATAAAGAAACCTACACATGTAAATGAAATTTTTTATAATCTACATGTCATCTTACATGTTATGAGAAAGAGCAAGAATCCTCCTCCTGTTTCAATCTCACATAACATGATAATATGCATCTCCCTGACGATGAAGATTTAGAAATATATAATTATGTATATATAACTATGGGACTGCATCATATTTTGATGCAATTTTAAGTATTCACTTTGGGTAACAGTTCATTTTTAAACCACACTGGAAAAAGGGAGATACTTTATATTTTATTTCTCTCTCATGAGAGTTTAAATAAAATTTTACTACAGTAATAGAATTTAGAGAAATTTGGTCAAAATAACAGTGGCATCAATTACACATTGCCTTACACAACACAGGTTAGACTTATTTCATTTAAATTAAACTTACTGAAATTAAAATACATTTTACATTAGCTCTGGACAGCATTATTTTTGGCACAGTATAGTACTGCAACTCTAATAACAATGTAAGCAACAACTGCTACACCAGCTGGAAAAATCTGCTTAAGTTTTAACTTTTGCACAAAGTACATGATATATCTGAAGCCATCAAATGCAATACCCTAGCCTACAAATTGTATTGCAAACTAAACATATTTTGTCCTGGACTAATCATAAACAACAAACAGAATTAGATTACATACCTCCATCAGCAGGAAATGTAATGTCCTCTCTTCTAAGGTCATCATCACTATCATAATCATCTATTGGTCGTCTACGCAGCTCTTCTGAACCAGAACTGAGACCAGCAGATCCTGACTGCCCACTGAGAGGTGTCATGGCAACACTGCCTGGTGGTGTTACATGGTTCGGTGGAGTGATAGTACCATAAGTGGTTGCTACCATGGAATAGGAGGGGGCAGTGGGCACTAAGTGTGAGCCAGATGTCTCCTGGAAGCCCGGGGGTGGGTAGCCGCTTGGTTTGTGAGAGCTGTAATGGTGAGAAACAGATGGCAACAATGATGATTGTCCATGTGGCTCCAAATCCTCCCACCATGGAGGCTGCAATAATCGTAAATGAGGCCGAAGAAGCCAATGGTCATTAGCAACACCAGATCCCTGGTTGTTTGCCTCACCACTAATGCGCACCAAGTACTGTGAAGTTGGTGAGCCTTGCCTCTCATACACTACCCCCTCTACAAACATCTGTTGTTCCTTGTCCAATCGCACTACCACACGTGCCCCTTCCACAAGTTGTTTTGCAGAAGGAACAGCATCACTTATCACATCAAATTTACCAGTAGTAAAAACACTACTGTACAAGAGATCACTATTTGCTTCAGCATCAATCCTCACTATAAGATCACATGCATTTTTCACATTCACAATCACTGCAGGATAGTAATGTAGGCCACGTTTGGCTAAAACCCGATGCCCCTTCCATTCACTAAGGTCAACAAGAGCTCTAGGAACACCCTGCTGTGATGACCACATTTCTGGGGTTCGAGGCACTTCTTCACGCAATTCACCGGACACATGATGAGATGATAGAGTAGCCTGTGCTGCAGCATCGACAACACTCTTGAAGCCTGCGTACTGTTTTGGCTGAGGAAACTCTACCTTTGAACCTGGTGACTGTGAAAGACGGTTGGTGGTACCTTGAGTGATAGCAGACTGGGAATGGGCTAGAGGTGGCACCATATGAGGAATGTGCACTGTATGGTGACCTCCACTCCCCACCTGATGTTGGAGCTGAGACTGTTGTGAGGGTTGAGGAAGATGTTGATGAGGTTGCTGGACCTGAACTGTATGTTGCTGTTGCTGCATCTGTTGTTGTTGTTGTTGGATCTGCTGCTGCTGTTGCAACTGTTGTTGTTGCTGTATCTGCTGCTGCTGCTGTTGCTGCTGATGCTGCTGCTGCTGTTGTTGATGTTGAAGCTGCAACTGCTGCTGCTGCTGCTGCTGCTGCTGCTGCTGCTGCTGATGTTGCTGATGTTGTTGCTGATGTTGCTGTTGCTGATGCTGTTGCTGCTGTTGTTGATGCTGCTGCTGTTGATGATGTGACTGTTGATGAAGCTGATGTTGATGCTGTTGTTGTTGATGAGTTTGTTGATGAGTTTGATGATGTGACTGCTGAAGATGAGGTTGCTGAATATGCTGCTGCTGATGATGATGTTGATGTTGTTGATGAAGTTGGTGTGATTGCTGTTGTTGTGATTGGTGCTGTAGCTGTTGCTGACGTTGCTGCTGCTGTATTTTTTGTCTCTGTTGTTGTTTGTTGTTGTTGTTGTTGTTGTTGTTGTTGTTGTTGCTGCTGCTGTTGTTGTTGCTGTTGTTGCTGTTGTTGCTGTTGCTGCTGTTGCTGCTGCTGCTGATGATGATGATGATGATGATGAAGCTGCACTTGCTGTGCCGAACTGTGTGATGATTGGTACTGAGGAATGGTTACCAACGTTGTTTGATGTTGAGGAATCAGACCAATGTGTGTGGCAACAGTAGCAGTGTGAGGAATGGAAGCAGCCTGTGTGGCTGTAGTAAGTTTTACTTGACTGTTGGATTGTGAAAGTGAGTTCCGCTGTACAGTCAACACCTGCGACGCCACTACACTGTGCGCTGTGATAGCATGTGATACTACTGTGTGGCTGGTGGTTTTCATGTTGACTGGTTGTGAATGAACTGGAGGCTCACTAGATATGGATTTATCTTGGCCACTACTACCACCTTCCTTCCCACTACTACACTGGTTATCACTGCCATTTTCACTACCTCGACAACCAACTACAGTATTTACCCGAAGATCTTGCGGCTTGCTTTCAGATAAATTCACAATAGTTGCAGAAACAATGGGTTTAACAACAGCATCTGGAGCAGCTGGAGTTGCTCCAGACATCATGGGACTCGTTACTGATGTGCTAACAGAAGAGCTTCGCAGTGGAGTAGATGCTGGTACTACCAAACAAGAGCTAATTGTAGTAGTGGCCGTCACCATTGCAGCAGGCTGTTCTCTTAAGACTAATAATGGTCTCGGTCCTTCATTCATGTCCTCTAATTCTGATGGATCAAACTTTCGCTTCTTGGGTAATTTGCACACATCATGTACAGGCTGTTTCTCTTCCCTCACTGCAGTTAAAGATGATGTCAAACCTCCTGTTCCTGCTGCTGGGGCAGAACCCCGGCTGGAGTTTGCAACTCCAACTTTGGGGCGGCTCACTGTAGCAGCAGGCATACTGGAGCTGTTATTGCTCTGACTGCTCACCACAGCAGTTTCATCACCAGTAACTGCTGTGGGTACTCCCTCAGCAGAGCTACCAGGGTCATCACCTTTACCACCCGATACTGCATCCTTGCGGGTCCTCAGTGACCCATAATTTTCCTCACCCTTTTTGCCATGGGATATGTTATTGCCTGAGGCTGTGTGTGCCAAGGGAGGCTGATGTGCAGCTGGATCTCCCTCCCTGCGGGTGGTGGCTCTTGACCCACGGCTAGAAGTACCCGAAGTTTTGGATTCTGTGGTGCGTTTGGCTCGGTTGGCCCCACGCCTATTCATCTTGACGATCATCCATAGTTATAATGCCGAGGACCACTGGTGGCTCACCAGAGCACCAGGCAAGCTTCATAGCAGCTATGGTCCTTCACAGCTGAAAAATAAAAAATGCATTAGCATCTTGTCAAAAATTCTGACATTTAATGCTAAAAATGCTTAATACTGTATATGTAATTAATTTTCAACAGTCAACAGTGATGTCACCGTGGTTGTTTAATATATTTATAGATGGGGTTGTAAGAGAAGTAAATGCGAGGGTCTTGGCAAGAGGCGTGGAGTTAAAAGATAAAGAATCACATATAAAGTGGGAGTTGTCACAGTTGCTCTTTGCTGATGACACTGTGCTCTTGGGAGATTCTGAAGAGAAGTTGCAGAGATTGGTGGATGAATTTGGTAGGGTGTGCAAAAGAAGAAAATTGAAAGTGAATACAGGAAAGAGTAAGGTTATGAGGATAACAAAAAGATTAGGTGATGAAAGATTGGATATCAGATTGGAGGGAGAGAGTATGGAGGAGGTGAATGTATTCAGATATTTGGGAGTGGACGTGTCAGCGGATGGGTCTATGAAAGATGAGGTGAATCATAGAATTGATGAGGGGAAAAGGGTGAGTGGTGCACTTAGGAGTCTGTGGAGATAAAGAACTTTGTCCTTGGAGGCAAAGAGGGGAATGTATGAGAGTATAGTTTTACCAACGCTCTTATATGGGTGTGAAGCATGGGTGATGAATGTTGCAGCGAGGAGAAGGCTGGAGGCAGTGGAGATGTCATGTCTGAGAGCAATGTGTGGTGTGAATATAATGCAGAGAATTCGTAGTTTGGAAGTTAGGAGGAGGTGCAGGATTACCAAAACTGTTGTCCAGAGGGCTGAGGAAGGGTTGTTGAGGTGGTTCGGACATGTGGAGAGAATGGAGCGAAACAGAATAACTTCAAGAGTGTATCAGTCTGTAGTGGAAGGAAGGCGGGGTAGGGGTCAGCCTAGGAAAGGTTGGAGGGAGGGGGTAAAGGAGGTTTTGTGTGCGAGGGGCTTGGACTTCCAGCAGGCATGCGTGAGCATGTTTGATAGGAGTGAATGGAGACAAATGGTTTTTAATACTTGATGTGCTGTTGGAGTGTGAGAAAAGTAACATTTATGAAGGGGTTCAGGGAAACCGGCAGGCCGGACTTGAGTCCTGGAGATGGGAAGTACAGTGCCTGCACTCTGAAGGAGGGGTGTTAATGTTGCAGTTTAACCCTTTCAGGGTCCGTCCCGTAGATCTACGGCTTTACGGTGAGTGTCCAAACCGTAGATCTATGCCATGAGCTCAGCTCACTCTGATAAACTGTGAGTGGTACATTTGGGCCTAGATATGAGAGAATACATCTATGTGGTATGTGTGCACCACATAAAACAGATCCTGCAGCACACTGTGTATAATGAGAGAAAAAAAACTGAAATCATGATTTTTCGATTAAAACAGCGACTTTGCAGTGTTTTTTCCTATGTTTTTTATAGTTGTATTTGCGATTTCTTGGTCTCATTTGATAGAATGGAAGACATATTACAGAAATAGAGATGATTTTGATTGGTTTTAGCACTGGAAATGGCTTGAAACTGAGCTCAAAGTAGCGGAAATGTTAAATTTTTGCCGATATTCAAGAGTAAACAAACGACCTCACACATCTAATACACGTCAGCTGGTGGGTCTAATATACATTCACAAATATGGTGATGATATTTATACAATTATTACAGTATTGCATAACAGTAAATCTTCTATTTTTTGGTGTGAATAAAAATTCATTATGTGAATAAAAAATCAAAATGGAATTTATTTGTAAAGCCTCAAAATGTAACTAATGAACAGAGGAAATGTTAAGTTTAGTTCCAGGAATACCTACATTGTTTATTCTGGAGCCTATTTTGAAATTGGAATATTTTGAACTTTGTGTTAAATTGGCCAAATTAACAATTTCCGATCACTTTATTTTGTAGTTGAAACAGTTGATTTGGAGATTTCTTGTGCTCAATCGATAGAATAGAAGTAATACTAGTGAAATAGCTAAGAATTTGGTTGATTGGAATAATGTAATTGGCCTAAAATGGGAGTCAAAATCGGCAAAATCGCCGACTCATAAATATCGCTGACACATCAAAATTCGCGAGAGCATAATTTCGTCAATTTTCCACCAAATTTCGTACTTTTTGTTTTATTACCTTCACAAAAAGATTCTCTATGATTTCATAAGAAATAATAACAAATTTTTTTTTTGAAAATTCTTGGACACTGGTGCGTGACTTCAGATTTTGGCCTTGGACCCTGAAAGGGTTAAAAACTGTAGTGTAAAGCACCCTTCTGGCAAGACAGTGATGGAGTGAATGATGGTGAAAGTTTTTCTTTTTCGGGCCACCCTGCCTTGGTGGGAATCGGCCAGTGTGATAATAAAAAAAATATCAAAAAAAGCATCTGTATGTACTCTTTGGGTTATTCCCACAGTTACTTAATTACAATATTACCAAGCTTCTTTAATTTATTAACATATTAATGTTCATATTATATCATTTTTTGCTAAAATTTTAAACTAAGATCATATCACAGGATGCACTATTGATATTTTCTGCTGGGATAACTCTATGCTATTTCTGTTCTTTTAAATAACTACTGCACTGTGCTGCTGAATGTATTGTGCTTTTGCTCTTGTGGTTATTAAATCCAACCAAATAGTAATTTGATAAACAGACCCTTAATATAGTGAAGTACACTGCAGTTAAATACACAGCATATGAGAAAACTTACAGTATATACAGGACACCCTGGGAACTACAAGAGGCCTACTGGACGATGCTACATTTCCAAAGTGCCTAGATAATGCATGCTAAGAGAGTTGCCAATGTGACTGTACCACAATTTTGTCTTATCAAATCAATTTTCCTCATTTAAATTAATTGAAATGCCATTAATCCATTCCAGGAGAATTCCTGCTTTCAGGAGGCAGGACAAAATACTTCAATATAATGCTAATATCAACTCTATGGCTTATTTATCTATCACAATTAATCTAATATGACATTATAAACAATATGAATAACATAGAAATATGATATATACTGTAGAATGAATAAAATACGCCATTATGCGATTGGTGGCGCGTATTCCCGCACCCACTCCGACCATATCTTCCCATGCTCTTATTATAAGACAAAACAGAGTGTTTGTGAGGCTAACTGCACTAGATCACTAGTTTCATAAGGAAAACACTGAAACAATGTACGTACATGTATTTATAAATAAGAAATGTTGTATAAAAACATAACAGAGAATGTAAAGAAATAAACTGAACTGAAACAGCAAACAGACTCAATGTTTTCTTCTCCACCATGGGAAAGAATCTAGCGAGCAAAACCCCAAGCTCAAATACCCGTCCATCAGACTATCTCACGGGTACCTACTCGAATGCACCATTTCTAGCTCCAACCACCCCAACAGAAGTCTCGCTCATCATCAACACCCTCAAAAACAAGGCAGGAGATATAAATAACTTACTACCTTTTATGTACAAAAAAGCTTCTCAAATATTGTCACATACTGCAACACTCTTTAACAAATCCATCGAATCTTCCACCTTCCTATCAATTCTCAAATAGTGAGGGTCACCCTGATCCACAGAGGAGGAGCTCAAGCAGACTTGAATAACTATAGACCCATATCTAACTTATCTCTGCTCTCTAAAATCTTTGAAAAATTAATTCATAGGCAGATCTATTCCTACCTCGTCTCACACAACATACTCAACCCCTGTCAGTTTGGATTCAAACACACTATGGTATAAGAGGGCACTCCCTCAAACACCTAAGTCATACCTTAGTAACAGAAGCCAATATGTGTACACAAATGGAGCTAACTCTTCCACACAACCAATTACAGTGGACGTGTCCTTGGCCCACTCCTCTTTCTCATTTACATCAATGACCTACCAAATGCATCACAACTACTCAAACCCATATTATTTGCAGATGACACTACATACGTCTTCTCTTACCCAAACCCAGTCATACTGGCCAACACTGTTAACCCCTTGACTGTCGCAACCCCCAATCCTGAAGTGTCTCCTGGTGTCGCAAAATTTCAAAAAAAAAAAAAAAAAAATTATTTTTTCTTATGAAATGACAGAGAATCGTTTCCCAATAGTAACGACACCAAAAACACAAAATTTGATGGAAAACTGACGGAATTACGCTCTCGCGAATTTAGCGACCTCGGGGATATTTACAAATCGGCGATTTCGCCCACTTTGAGCCCTATTTTCGGCTAATTCCATTGTTCCAGTCGACTAAACTCATAGCTATTTCTTTAGAACTCCATTTTTTCTATCGACTGAGTACAAGAAATTGCCCATTTACCGATATCAACTACCCAATAACGTAGTCAGAAATTTGCAATTTGGCCAATTTCACAAAAATTAAAAAATGTGACAATTTCAAAATAAGGTTCAGAATGAACAATGCAGACATTCCTGGCGCTAAAATAACATTTTCTTTGTTCATCAGTCACGTCTCCAAGCCCCTCTGATATTACTCTTGCTTTCTATTTTGAATTTTTATTCAAACAAAATATAGAAGATTTACTGTTATGCAGACTACTGCAATACTGTAATAATTGTATAAATAACATCAACCCATTCATGATTGCATATTAGAATGGCTAGTTGGACATTTATTGGACAATGACATCATTTGTTTACTTCTGAACATCGGCAAAAATCAAACATTTCCCCTACTTCGAACTCCATTTCCAGGTGCTTTTTATAGTAAAATCAATCAAAATCACCTCTATTTCTATATGTTTTCCATTCTATCAAATGAGACCAAGAAAACGAGAATACAACCATAAATACTATACGAAAATAGACCACAAAGTCGGCATTTTAATTAAAAAAAAAAGCGGTCAGAGTTTTTTTTTCTCATTATGCACTGCATGCTCCAGGATTTTTTTTATATGGTGCACACTGACCACACAGACCCATTCTCTCACATGTGGGCCTACCAGCTTTCTCCTGCTTGATTTGAAGCCGCTAGAATTTATGAGTATATATACGTCAAACACGGTACCTCGTAAG